CAATTCCCAGTGAGAAATGTAATTGTGTTGTATACCTACAATGTACCAATAAAAGAATTTAATACAAAAAATAAAAAATAAAAAAAAATAAATGTGTTATGTATATATACAAACTCCCCATTGTAAATGTAATTATTATGTACAGTAAACATTAGTAATAAAAATAAAAAATATTATCCTCTAATATTAAACAAAGATAGAAGAAAGATAGAAAGGTGGACAGAGAGATAAAAGAGTATTCTCTAACTTTTCTGCATTGTACATGGGAATTCTCTGAAGTAAGAATAAGAGAATTCAGTAAGTTGGAAAATATTTTCCACTTTGACTATATATATATATATATATATATATATATATTTATTTATTTATTTTTGGGTACCGAGGATTGATCTCCATTCCTTGGGCTTGCGAGGCAGTCAGTGGCACCACTGAGCTAAATCCCTCCCCGGCGACTATATTTTCTTTCAAAGTCATATTTGAAGACTGACATACGTTTCATACAATTAAAAATCACAAATATTTTAAGAAGCAACCTCAGCCCTTCTACAGTTCCTTAATCACTAATACAAACCCTAGTCAGATTGGGCTATGGCTGAAGAGTGTAATGATTTAAATAAAACTTAAGAGGTCTTTCCAAAGAAATGAATATTTTCTTGGCCAGGGATTTAGCTCAGTGGTTCTGCTGCCTGCCTCACAAGCTCAAGGTCCTGAGTTCTATCCCCAGTACTAAAAATAAAATAACACAAAAAAAGAGAACATTTTCTAACTGTAATCTTATTAAAAAAAACAAAAAACTACTCACAAACCTCCTTCCTTCTTTAATAAAGCATGTACATGCAATCTTCCAACCACACTTACTTTGCTATTTCTCTTAAATGAAAATTTTAACATTTTTAATAGCAAGGCCCTTTTAGATTATTATGCAGGCAAGGATATTTCTCTAGTCAACCACATTTTTTTTTAATCACATAAAGCTGATTTTTCAACAATCCCAGTTTACTTATTTAAAAAATTTTTTAAGCTTAAAATTTACATTATAAAAGGAAATATGTTTAGTATATAATTATTATAGACAATAATGTATTCAGAAAGGCTCAAATGGATGAGTATGAAAATATACCTCATTGACATATACTTACTTATAAAAACATATTGCCTTTGCCATGTGAAAATCTGGTGTTCAGTTCTCTAGATTTCTTTATTAGGGCTTTTTTCTGAGCATCATCAAATCGATTAACCTTCAGATCCTTATCACGGTCAAATGGTATTCTCTCTTGGGGCTTATTTTTATCTTCAGTGGCCTTACTCTTTAATTTTTTATGATGAATGTCCATAAGAGATTCTGATCTTTTTGATTCCTGGAAAAAAGAAGAAGAGCAGGAACAAAGACCTTAACTTGTATAGATTATTGACAGAAAATGATCATGAAGTAGAAAATTAGACAATGTACAGTAAAGAGGGCTATTTACAAACCCTAACAGGTTTTTCCAAACCTAAGACAGCATCTATGAAGAGAACATGCATTGAGGCAAATTCAATCAAAATAAAGCTATTAACTACATGCCATACATTAAAAGCTGATTAAAATAGAGAAGAAATATTCAAATAATCATAATGAAAAGCATTCCAGTTACTTATACTTAAATTATAACAATTAAAATTACAAACCAGGGGATGGGAATATGGCTCAGAGGTAGAGCACTTGCCCAGCATGTGCAAGGACCTGGATTCAATTCCCAGCATTGCAAAAACAAACGAACAAACAAACAAAAAAACCAAACAGACAAACAGCACAAACCAAGCACATGGGTGTAAAAAGAAGAGCCATTATACTCTCACTTCATGGGTGGACTAGTTCCTGAAGCCTAAATGATGTACAGAAGGGAAGGCACTGACAGGATGCAGCCAAAACAAAAGTGAAAAAAGAACAAGAGTAAAGTGGCAAAACTCAGGGACCATGCAGGAGATACTGGCATGCTCTGTAAGCTAAGAGAAACTTTATTCCATTCAATTTTCTCCTCTTTCTCTTACCCCTCTAATTTTCCCTTTCTTTTCAGTTAGGGTAGATATTTACATTTTCAGATAGATCCAGTAAGACAAGGTCTGAGTAAAGGAAATCAGTTTAATAAATTGGAAATTCAGCCAGATGTGGTGGTATAAACCTGTAACTCCAACACTTGGGAGGCTGAGGCAGGAGGATCTGAGGCCAGCCTTGGCTACATAGTGAGCTCAAGGCCAGCCTGAACTAGATAGTGAGAGCGTGTCTTAAAAAAAAAAAATTGAACGTTTATTAAAAACTTCTGAGCACTGAGTAAGGTAAAGGATAGAATGGCCTGGGATCGAAGAAGCAGAGGAGGATGGAGAAGTAGTGCAGATCAGCAGCCTTTCCATTGGGTTATCAAGGCCTAGATAATTTTTAAGGTTTACCTATCCATGATTCTCAGCTTTTTCATGTAATCTTTCTTAAAACTGATCTGCCCTATAAAGCATCTTGTAAAGGTGCCTTCTCTTTATAGTTGTAGAAACTATAGAGTAGTGTCTGGGAGGGCAAAATCTCATGGGCACCTAAGAGAAAAATGTGAAGAGCTGGCATAAACAAAAACTTCCTTTAACCAATTAACAGTAAACCCAGAAGGGCTTTGTATCATTCTGTCTTGAACGTATTTCTCAAATGAGTGTAGTGTCCTTTAGAGATGAACATTTTGGCTTTCAGAATGTTCTGAAATCAGATATATTGATGTATGTGGCAATGGAAGAAAGAACAATTTTTGCTTAACATCTACTTCTCTTTAAGGCCTTGCCTATGTCAAAGGATATACTTGAGAACAAAGAAATAAAGAGAGCTTAGTGAACATCAAACAAGGCAATAATAAGAAATGCAGGGGAAGGGGCAGCATCGTATTTCATACAGAAAGATACATTCATGAGTTAATAGAGCTCTTGCTTTCTGATCAAGTGCTATTAATCTCTAGTAATTGAATTTCTGATGTATGACAGGTATAACAAACTGAAAACATATCACATGCACAGGACATTATACATGTATGTACACACATATACATACATACACACAACAGAGTCATGTATATTTCAGGACTTATGTATAGAAAATACCTGAGGCAAACAGGCAGTCATAGGAAAAAAAGAGAAACAAGAAAACAAAAAAGGAGACGAGAAGTGGAACAAAAATGATATATTTTATTTTCTTACATTGTATAAGGATACCTGCTCAGCCAATCTCTTATCTCTTCCTGAAAATATATATTCCTCATCCTTCTTATTGAGTGACTTCTTTGTTTCTTGTGTTTCCTGAGGAATGAACACAGGTAACACATCACTGAAGCACACAATTATGATAAAATAAAACAAATATTATTTTTAATCAGATTACTTAACAAGAGACTGAACTAAAACTACATCGGGCTTATTAAATTCCTTGTTAGAACATTTATATTCTTGATAAGGGATTGTTAGTGCTTTAGGCTGTGATTTTTCCTGAAAATAAGAAAACAAAACAAAAACTTTACCCAATTAACGGCAAGCACTTACCTATTTATTGAACTTAGGATCTGAGTTCTGACTAACAATGATGAAATACAGAAGTGAAAACAGGGCTTATAAGAAATCCTTATCTGTTTTCAAAAATAGTGAAAAGGAAAAAAGAAATGAAAGGTTTTTTAAAAAAGAATTTTTTCCTTTTGTTTCTTGTGTGTGGTTCTAGGGATTGAACCCAGGGCTTTTTCAAGCAATGTTCTCAAGTCTTCAAAAATTTTTGTTTTTCATTTTGAGACAGGGTCCCACTAAGTTGTCTAGGGTAAGCTCAAATTTTTTCTTTTTTGGTACCAGGGATTGAACTTGGGACCTTGCGCTTGCAAGGCAGGCGGTGGATAAACTTTTGATCCTGGTGCATCATGGGCTGGGGATATTGCGTAGTGTGAAGGCCTTGAGTTCAATCACTGGTACCAATATCAACACATGAAAACACAAAAAACCAACTGTCTTTATTCACAGATGATATGATGTTTTATGTAGAGAACCCAATCTATCCTGGAATCTCTCCTGGAACTTAAAAGCAAGTACAGTAAAGCTACATGATACAACATAAATATACAAAATACATCAGCAATAGACAACTGGAATTTGAAATAAAACAAAGCAAAGATTTTATTTATAAAATCATGAATACAAAAATGAAATAGGAAAACTTTCAATAAACTGTAATAAAAAAAAAGTTACGATATTCTACAGAATATAGAATGAGGAAGGTCCACATGAAATGACTGAAAACCCACTGTTTTCAAGGCACATTTTTATGTTGTTATTTGATTAGGAAAACCAAGGAGGCCTTCATAACAATTTTTATCATAATATGGACTAAAACAACTGGTATTTAATAAGGTATGTTAAAAACAGAATAGTTCATTTCTAATTTTTCCATAAAATTTTCCTCAAAGAACACATTTTTACTTGTAAATATTAAGAGAAAAATGATGTTATGTTAAAATGAAGATGTAAACTTGACCCTTCTATAATGTGCTATTAGATCTTGTCAAGACTTAGAGGTGAGGACACATAGATTTCATTCAATTAACTTATGCAAAAGTTTTTCATTTCTTTCTAATGAACAATCATTTCTTTTAGGGCATGTTGGATAAGGGAATATGACAGGTAAGAGAGAGGTATGAATATGAGTTATGTTGGGAAATCAAATATAAAAAGATAGAGTGGAGAAAACATACTAAGAAGGAAATCTGGCTGAGATCTGTTATAAAAATTAGTCATGAACTTTACATAGGAGCAAAGACACCAGAAAATGAATAGCTCTATGATGCTATATCATTTCTCAGAAATGATACTATACTCTGTAATAGTACTATACACTGTAATACAGAATTACATAAAAATTAAGAGGTATTATTAATCCCCTTATATCCACTGTTAGCACTGAGCAAAAAATTTGAGCACTAGAACAACCAGGTCTAAAGATCTCAGTCACAGGGATTAAAATAACTTAAGTTCAAACTGTACTGCTTGGTTTCCATTTGAGCTCATTTATTGGTACTATTTTTTTTTTTTATTTTGGTAGCAGGGATCGAACGTAGGACCTTGTGCTTGCAAGGCAGGCAGCGGCACCACTGAGCTAAATCCCTGGCCCCCATTTGTGCCCTTTTAAAATGACATTTTCCTCTGAGGATGATTCCCTGCATATATAACTGTAGAGTAGTCATCTATATTAACCTTTAGCAAGAAGCAAAACAAGAAAAGAAGACCCACAAATTTAAAAGTCTATTTAAGCAAGGGAATTGTCATTTTGGAGACAATTCTAAAAGGCTAAATTACAAAAACTGTAATATGTTATGTTATGGTTTAGATCTAAAATGGCCCCCAAAGCTTCATGTGTTTTTGGAGGGTGATTAGATTAGTGAGGCATTACAGCTGAATTGCTATTAGAAGGTGTGGTCGGGAGAGAAGAGGAAGGAGCCAGCCAATCATGCAAGGACTGAAACTTTTAAACATGAGTTAAAATAAACCTCTCCTCATTTAATCTGTTGGTGTCAGGTACTGAGTCCCAGTGACAAAGAAAGTGACTGAGATATATCATTAGTATAAAAATACATACCCTAATTATATCATTATTATAAAAATCAAGCAAAGAAAGAATAGATAAATACACTAAAACTAGCCTTTCAATGTCTGTGGCTCATGCATATACCATATCCTTTGTTGACTCTTCTGCCTTCATGTATTACTTCACCTCAACTTTCTATTACCATTCTCAGATGTCCTTGAATCTTTGGAACCAAAGAGAATTTATAATCTTGCTGAAAATGCACAGAGGATGCGAAAATGTAGACTTCAACATACTGTTAATGTTTTAAGAACGATACTATCTCACACCCAACTCTCCACCAAAATGAAAGATCCTTTAAGAGCTCTTTCACATTACCTGTAATCAAATACAATAACTAGAGAACAATTCATTTTAGTTATGGAATAAAAATGAAAACCCTGAGATCTCTAGGAAGTGACAGACAAGACAGACAGAGTTAGCATGAAGAATTAAACGTGGAACTGTTTAGATCAGAATTGAAGTTGTAATCATAAGGCAACAATTAGCCAAGCATTTAAGATGCATATGGGACATTTTGTAGGAATGAAAAGCTTTAAATGGAGCAGTACTGGGGACACTGGTTCCATACACCAGAATATTTAAAAATAAACACAGACTCAAGAGGAGAAAATTAAAAAAAAATGTATTTTATGCACATAAACTCTTTGTATTTTTGATAACTTATTTAATGTATCAATGAAGGCACTTCTTGTCTATCTTGACAGTATTAAGAAGTTTAGTATACCTAAGATACAGTCACTTTGAGAGATTCTTTAGGTATTATTTAATTTGCTAGGTAAATCTGCAAAATGTTTTTTCCAAGATATTTTAAAAGGTATTCTTTCATGTAAATAGTATAATGTTGTACAAGGACCAGGCAACCTGGAGTTAGAAAGACCTAAAGGAGAATTTTGCTTATCATTAATTACCTCTGAGATGCAAAAAAAATTGACCTCATAGTGGTTAGTTTCTGGATGAAAAAGGAATTAAGGGAGCGGAGATTTAGCTCAGTGGTTTTGCCGCCTGCTGCACAAGCACAAGGACTTGAGTTTGATCCCCAGTACCAAAAAAAAAGTCAGAAAAAGGAATTAAGATGTGTTATGTAAATGTACCAACTCCACACAAGTAAGGTAAACATAATGTATTCCAAACATGTACTAATAAAAAGTAAATAAAAAGAGGTCAGTAAACCTATGTCTTAAGGTTTTCTTGAGGTTTAAATAAGGTCATTTATGGGAAAATAGTAGACAAATAGTGTGACTTTCCTTCCTAATAACTTTCCTTCAGGGGGAAAAATCTGTATTTTTCCTTTGGAAACATTAATTTCAAAAATTAGTATCTTTAAATAATTTTGCCTTTTTTTTTTGGTACTGGGCATTGAATTTAGGACCTTGAGCTTGTGAGTCAGGCACGGTGCTACTGAGCTAATTCCCCTGCCCCAATAATTTTGCCTCTTATTTTTTCAAAATTGAGAAAACACAGACAAAAACATATGAACAAACACCTTAGCTTTCCTTTCCCGGTCAGCTGGAGTATCTGTCCAGACTGATCGATCTTCGGATTTGTCATCAGCTCTTCTTTTAAAGGTTCTCGGCCCAAGGCCAAAGTCTTTCATTTCTGGAGGAAGCTCAGTCATCCATGATTCTCTTGTAATTGGTTTAGATGAATCCTTTAAGAGAAATTAAAAAATTTTAAATGCACACAAAAATATACATATATACTATATATAAATAAATACAGTACAAACAATTCTATTTCTCAATTGAGGTTTTAAATTTACTTAACAGACTTTAACAGAAAGGACTGATGTTTTTGTAGTATATACTTGCCATATATGTTGCCATATACTTTCATCCAATTTGTTATTCTTTTGACTATCTTTTGCCATACAGAATATTTTTAGTAAATGAATCTGCCAATCTTTTCCTGTAATTTCTGGATTATATAGCTCCTAAATTAATATTTATGTATATGTGTACATATATAAACCAGGTGTGGTGGTGCATGCCTGTAATCCCAGCACTTGGGAGGCTGAGGCAGGGGGATTGTCACAAGTTCAAGGCCAACCTGGGCTACACAGTGAGACACTGTCTCCAAAAACAAAACAAAACAAAATAAAACAAAACAAAACATCAAAGAAAGACAATGTACATATATATGCAAAATTTGAAAATAAGTATACATATATTTAAATTTTAGAAATATTGGCATATATGTATATATATAATATATATGTATATATTTCAATGTTTATTTCTAACTTTTAGGTCTTTTCAATTTAGTTTATTTCTTAAAGGGCCGGGGATTAGCTCAGTGGTTCTGCTGCCTGCCTCCCAAGTACAGGTCCTGAGTTTGATCCCCAGTACCAAAAAAAAAAAGTCTATATATATAGTTTATTTCTTAAAGTATCTTAAAGAAAACTTACATCATCTCCTTTAGTTAGTTTGTCTTTCATTCTCTGGGCCCTTTTTTCAAACTCTGTCGTTACACTATAGTTAACAGGTCCCTTTGCAGGCATTGGTCCAACAATATCCTCATCTTCACTGTTATCTGTTTCCTTATAAAATAAGACATTACCTTTAATCCAAGAGATAGTTACAAGTTACAGAAGAATGATCCTAATTTACTTAAGTTTAATTGAAATGGATTATCCACAGACAATAAAACAAAAAAATAAACAATATATTTATTGCTAGCTTGTTACTGAGCAATGAAGACCCTTTTCCTGCCTTCCTCAAGTGCATGGTAGACAACAAATCCATGGCATACAGATTGTTCCATCTCTTCTCCTATGTTACAGTAGACATCATTAAATTATTTTAGCTTTCTTCCTGATGGACACAGACGTGGGCTTGGAGTTCTTCTCAACACAGGATTCCTGGTACTTATTACTAATACAAGGGCAGTGATCACACATTTGAAAACAATTCTATTCCTGGTACATAAAAAGCTCTTTGGAACAAGATATACATAAACAGGGCATTCTTGGGAGATATATCACCCTTTATGACAAAGAGTCTGTGCAATGATCCATGAACATTGACTCAAATGAGTTAATTCAGTTCCAAAAGTATCTCACTTATCTTAAAGATATAAAATTCTAACAAGTGAATATAACTTGTTCTGATTAAGTAAGTCACTATGATAAATGGTTTCCATGTATGATTTGGTATCGGATGCTATATACACTAGGGCTTAAAGGTTGTCTTTGTTCTCCAGATTTACTAAGACAAGTAACAATGACAGACTAGTCTGTTAGCTTCAACAGACAGCTTCTTCCTCATATTAAAAAAAAAACAAACTAGTACTATCAGGAATTCATTTGTATTACTTTCATCTTCCCTACTAACACCCAACAGTAAGTTTCTACTTGTGTTTTTTCTCTGAGCCTCTATACTAATGCTATTTTCACAAGTAATTACACAATTATTTATTCTCTTACAGCTTACTCTAAATCATACACAGACATTTAGTAAGTATGAACTTTTGCATAAAAGGCCACATTTGGTTCTTATAGCAAAACTGTGAAATGGTATTATTCCTGTTTTCTTCGTGAAGAAATATATTACTTTGGGGTTAAGTTTTTTTTTCCTTTTATTTAAAAAAATTTTTTAAATTTTAAATTAAAAAAATTTTTTTGGTACCGGGGATTGAACTCGGGTGCTTGCACTTGCACAGCAGGCAGTCAAACCACTGAGCTAAATCCCCAGCCCCTTTTCTTTCTTTTTTTGGGACAAGGTTTCCCTGTGTATTTCAAGCTGGCCTTGAACTCACTATGCAGGAAATACATTACTTTAATTCAACTTTTAGTGATTTAATTTTAAGTATTCATAGCTTATTTCTACAATAGTAGGATGATGTCACAGATGTTTATCTTAAATGTATTTATAATTCCTCATAACATAAATACTTGGTGACATAAAGAGATGAAATAAAAAGATATAATGAACTTTTTAAATTGTAACTGTCATGGTCTCAACACAGTATTAGTGTTAGAAGATGGGATAAGCTGGTACTTTTACTTCCAACTAATAAGCACTTTTACTTCTAACTAATAAACTAATGGTACTTTTACAAGTTTTATTAATTTCAACATGTCTTGCTATGAATTTTTAGAAATCTGAATTACCTATGTTGTTGAGAGACATAAATGGGGGAATGGAGAAGCAAACAGAAAACTAGGCCCAACACACTAAACTGAAAATCATAAGTCCACATCTAATGTAGGTATTAATTCATTTTGGTGTCCTGGGTGAGTTATTTAATTATTTAAAAAGGCATTTTCTTAGTGTACTGTACTTGTCACTGGGACAAAATTACTGACACCTACATCTTAAAGGAGAAGATGTTTATTTTGGCTCACATTTTTAGTCTATAGTTGGCTAGCTCCACGCAGAAAGGCATGGTAAAAGGGTCTAATAGAGGAAAGCTGCTCACCTCATGACAGACAGGAAGTAAAGTGTGAAGGGAGGACTTGGGAAGGGAGATGTTTTTCCAAATCACCCATATCCCCAGTGACCTGCCTTTTCTGATCTGACCCCACCTCTGAAACAGCAAGCCAACTATACCACTCCCATAGTCCAATCACCTTTCCAAACACATGAAGGTGGCGGGGGGAGCATTTTAGATCTAAACCATAACTGTTAATACTTTATTCAGAAATACAACAGGAATTATGTACTCTACTGAGTTAGAGTTTAGACTGCAGTGTTAGACCTAATTTGAGGCCCTATTTGCCATTGCAGTAGTCCTGTGACCCGAGGCACATTATTTAATCTTTCTAACCCTTGGTTTTCTTGTCTTTTAGAGGAGGATAACAACTCCTACCAAAAAGTGATCTATAGACAAGAAACACTGCATTTTGTTCATCTCTGAAGCCATGAAACTAGGACATGCTCTAACTCCTGGGGAAGAATGTTGATAATTCTAAGTCAATCACTTTGTCTCATTCTCACTGCCTATCTGACTGACTCAGGAATGAACATGAGATACACTTTTGGTCAAACACGAGCAAAGAGCTTTCTGGAAAGGTTTTCCTTCCCCTAAAAGAGGTGAACAGGATTACTTCCCTTCTGTGTTTGGTCATTGCCAATTGATTGTGAATCTTAGGACTTTGGCAGTCTTCTTGGTATGATGAAAAAAATCAGCCTAAGAGGAATTAACATGCCATAAAAAAAATCCTGGAGCCCTTAATATTATTAGACTATGGCAATGATGGTAAACTTATGGCACACGTGTTATTGTGTTTCTCTTTTAAGCAAAAGATGTTAATGCATGAGTTGTTTTTTCTAACATAAAACCTGAGTACTCAGATTTAATTGCAGTGTTGGCACTTTGCAATAAATAAGTGGGCTTTGGGTTGCAGGTTGAGCACTCAGTCTCTAAAAGTTTCACCATTACTGGGCTATGGAATTAACCAACCCTGGAGTGACTTTACTTCTAGACCTGCTACTATGTATGAAATACATTTTCCATATTTGTAGAATATAGAATGTATACTACCAAGGAAATTACATAAACAACCCATTATCTAACAAAGTACTATACATTAAGTCTAAGTTCCATTTTGAATTGGATTTTGTTATTGGCAGATGAGAGCATTCTAGATGGTATACCACCTCAAAGAACTATTTGGATTAGATTAAGTTTATGTTCATGGTATGCTCTACAGAGTCTGACTTGTAACTGCTCAGTAAATGTAAACCATTAGTATTATTATGTATTTCTTAATTTGGGGATAAATACTGTGCATGAGGACTAAGAGAGGCTCTTCTCTGAGAAAAAAAATCCGAAAAAGATGTGTCTTTTGTAAAAGGTTTAAAAGGAAATTATAAAGAAAATATTTCAGAAGCAAAAGTACTTTAAACAGGTTAAATACCTGTATCCCTGGCCACCTTCAACAGTCATCATTTACTAAGAAAAGTTAGAAGATGTATATGTTGGTGATTTAGCTCAGTGACTCTGTGCCTACCTCGCAAGCACAAGGTACTGAGTTCAACCCCTGGTACCAAAAAAAAAAAAGTAGAATATGTGCCACCTAGGAAATTATATAAACCAACTATTTACTAATTAGATGGGTTAGGGCAAAAGTCTAAGTGTCAATAAAGCTGAGTTGTGCTACATCTTTGAAAAACGTTTTCCTCACTTTTAATTTTGGAAAAATGTATACCTATAGAAAAACACTAACGTAAGTGCACTGAATACCATATATTCTTTCTCAGTTTGATCAATTGCTAACTTTTTTTTTTTTTTTTTTTGAGGCAGGGTCTCCCTTTGTAATTCAGGCTGGCCCTGAACTTACTAGGTAGTCCAAACTGACCTCAAACTCTCGGTGATCCTCCTGCCTCAGTCTCCTGAGTGCTGGGATTACCGGCCTGTGCCACCACACCCAGCTAATTGCTAGCATTTTATCACATATGTCTTTCTTTTTTTGGATTGAACACATATATCTTTTTTGATTCTAACACTTACCCTCCTGTGAGACAGTCATGTGGATATACTTCCTTTTCTCAGGATCACATGCATGACAAGGCCTGAGGCTGAAGCACACTTGCTTGCCCCTTTCCTAAGGATAGTGCCCTACATTTTCCTCGTATTCTTTTCAGAGACAGAGCAGGGAGTTAGCTCAGTCTTCCATTTGGCCAGAAGTCTTTCCTTTCACAATTTATTTTTGTCTTTAATATCCTTATTAGAAAGAATTCCTCATACTTCTCTAATTCTTCTAAGGTACTCTCATGGCATCAATAGTAGAGGCAATAACAGTAATACTGATAATAATGAGAGCTATTATACATTGAATGTCCACTATTCTAATTTAATCTTTACAACAACTCCATTAGGTAAATATTAACAACTTGCATATTATTGACAATGAAACTAAGCTCCCACAGGATTCAAAGTTTGGAATGGGTCTTACCTACCTTCCCAGCCTTATCATTTACCATTTGGCTTCTTTCCACTCTAACATATTGGACTTCTTTAAATCCTAGCTTTCTTCTGCTCCACACTTTTTTTGCCTTCAAATATGCTATTTGAATGATCTGGAACAAAGTTCCCTGCCTTCTTTGCTGATCTACTTTTACTTCATCAACCTCACTTTAGACATTTTCTCAGAGAGTAAGATCTTTTCTCATTTCTTCAGACTAGTTTAGATTCCTGTCATTTATACTTTGTCTCATCTTTTGAATCATTCGTAGTGTTAGAAGTTCTTTACTATATATCTATAGTCATCATTGTCTTGTAAGTGCAATGAGGGCAAGGCCTGAGTCTAATTTACTCAGCCATTCAACAAGTGCTTCTGAATATCTACTGTGTACCAGGCACTAGAGATAAGACAAAAATCTGTCCTTATGCACCCACATTCTAGTGGAAAGAGGACAATAAACAAATAGAACTAGTAAAATGAATGGTGTCTTCAGTGTTGATAAATACTATGGGGGAAAATTAAAGAAAGGAAGGAGATAACAGTAAAAGGAAGAGGGGATTAGCAAATTTAAGTTAGGAGGCTAGATTTGAACTCATTGAGAAAGTCATATTCTAACAACTCCCCCAGAGAAACCTCCTGAAGTTCTTGGAGGTCTGCCATGTAGACATATAGCAGAAGATCATTTTGGACAGGCCTGAACAGCAGGTATAAAAGCTCGGTGGTAGGAGCTGGCCTAGTGTATTTGCAGAGTAACAGCAAAGAGCCCAGTATGGTCGTATTAAAGCAAAAGAAAAATCAGTGGTAATGGAAACCAGATTATATAGGGCCCTGTAAAGACTCCAAATTTTTTGGAGGAGAAATTTGATGGTTTTGAGGGTAATTAACATGATCTGACTTTGTCTCACGCACAGTTTTCCAGCTGCAATGTTAAGAAGAGGCAGAAGAGGGCAAGGGCTAATCAGAGCCTGAAGACCAATCAAATTGATGGAATTATCAGGTCACTTAGGCCAGGGTGGGCCCAGAATAGCTGGATTGTAGATGTCTCTCAAAGGACAGGAACAAGAGTTTATTGACAGTTTGTTCATTCCTGTGACTATCTGCCCGATACACTGCAGATGCTCTAGAAACACTTCTTGAAAGAGAGAATAATAACTCCAAAGTTCATGGTCTTAATCACTGTATTTACTTTCAGTGACCTCAGTGTAACCAGTGAATTCTCAGTGATGAACAGGGGTCTCTTGATTATATCAATTCACTTGTAGAAAGGCACTGCAGCATAACAGACCATGTGCTTTAAAGTCGTAAAAACTGTATGTGAGCTATGGCTCTGATAAGTAAGAACTATAAATTTGGCTGAGATACCCTTTTCTTTAGTCTGTAAGATACAAATAATATGTACAAAAAACCCTAGCAAAATCAATCTTTTTTTTTTAAACATAACTCAGGTTTATGAACAGCTTTTGATTTTATCTATGTTATAATCTTAAATCAATATAAATATAACTGAGTCATAGGTTATATTTAGTCAAGTGATTACAGTTATTACTGAAGTTCTTAATTTGTTACATCTTATTCTTTACACAAACATTTTCCAAACCTGAGAGTTGCAGTATGATGATACTTGTCCTGGATCATCTCTGCCTTTGTCACTTTTCTGTGTAGATTTAATGAAACCAGGGGGCAATGCAGGACCTATTAGAGGCCTAAAAAATAACATGTACCTTTATCATTCTCCTTGACTTTTCAGTTTTCAGAATAAAAGTTCACAACAATCATAAAGTCAATAATAACAAATGTTGAAAATGAGAATTTAACACATTATTTTTACTACTGTTGCTTAATATTTTTCTACTAGGTGTCTTAAACATACTTTTTGCATTTTAAACTATTTATTAGTCAATTAGATACTAAATCAATAATTCTCAATCTTTGTAACAATAGTGCATACCTAAAAGAAATGTACTGAATAAAAATGATAATTAAAAAAAATCCTTATGATGTACTAAAACTTGTGAAGGTCTTTTTTCTATTTTGTGCCTTGACTTTCTTTGTTTTGATATTCACTGTCCATTGAAAAATACTTTAGGGGTATTATAATTACAATAATACCCCTGTTCACAAACACTTCTGTTCACAAACAATTCAGTGTGCAAACAGAAATGTTAGGGAAAAATTTGCTTCCATTCACAAACTCTGCAATGGGTGATGAACGTGACCACAGCCATCTTCCCCAGAATCATGGAACAAATTAAGTCTGTGACCTGAGGTACCACTGTAGTCAGAACTATTTAAGGAGAAATTAAGGTCTTCCAAGGACATACACTGTATGTGCATACGACATGTGTCATTAGTTGGTGGAGTATGTAACGCAGTGATATACAAATTTATCAAGTGTCCTAATCACCCAATGACAATATGGAAGCACAGACGAATGCAAATAATTCGTCGAGACCCATACAAGGAGGAAAATGTACTGAGCTAAGCACATTTCAATTAGTATACTTTTCAGTTTCTTTAAAGCAGTGTAAGTCACTCCATTTAGGACAAAATTAATACTAAAAGTCAACACACTCAGTAAGTTTTTTTGCCAAAGTTCATTTTCTTTCCAGTTGCCCTGCTGCCACACTGAGGGAACTGTTAATTAGTTCAAAGGAGAGAAGTGCCTGCATTATGAGCCTGACTTTATATAGGGAAAAAATAAAAGAGAAAATATATTTTTCACTTTCTTTGATATTTCTCATTTTCTCCATCTTTGCTTATCTGTAGTAGTGTTGTTCCCATGGTTGTCACTGTGCCACTATTAGCAACCCAAATGGCACTGAAATCCTAGGCCTAATTTACCAGGTTGAAATGTGTTCGATTAGTTCCTCACAGACAAGGTTCCTGGCAGAGGAGAGACAGTACTGACAGAAAGTCTGTGTTCTGATCCTGACCACTTAATTAATTCCTGTCTTGGTTCATAAAACCTTTCTGAGCATAAAAGTATTGCATTTGAAAGACAGAAAAGTTTGGCATTGTTATAAAGACCCAATTAGTTATAATTTATAAACTATGAGGAAGCACAGCATGGGCTTTTTTCTGAGTACAATTACTAGCAGAGATACAAATGCAATTATTGTTCAATTTTCTGGCCTCAGGAGATTTGTGGAGAAAAAATTAGTGGTATATAAAATCTTAAATATAGTAAATATCACATAACTATGGAATGCTGTGGTTGTACAAGAATTTTTGACTCTAATATATGCTAGTAAGTATATTTTAAATTACACATAGATTTAATTATTGGCACAATGTAATTCTCAAGAAACAAACTACTGCAGATCTAATGTTTGGGACCAGAAGTGTTTAGAATTTTATACTTTGGAATACTTGCATATACAGAATGAGGTATTTTGGGGACAGGACTTAAATCTAAACATGAAATTCATTCATATATTCCTTATACACACAGCCTGAAGGTAATTTTATGCCATATTTAAAAAAATTTTGTTATGAAACAAAGTTTGTATACCTGGAATTCTCAGACTTTTTGATATTATGTTGGTGCTCCAAAGTTTCAGATTTTGGAACATTTTAGATTTCAGATTAGAGACACTCCAACTATGTGTTTTCTTGAAAGAAATGAAATATCCCAAAGGTCAGCAAACTTTCTATTCAGGGCTAGATAGTAAATTTTAGGCTTTGACAGCTACATTTGGGTCTCTGTGGGTTATTTGTCTTTATTTTTCCAACTACTATTTAAAAATACAAAAATTACTCTTAGTTTAGGGACCATACCAAAAAAAAGGTATCCTATTTAAAAGAACTTGAGTTACATGGAAATCAGGACTTACCAAATACAATTATAAATTTTGAATACAAATGAATATGCATCTTTTCTACTTGTTCTTGCATACTGGTCTATAGTGTTATGAATTATAAACAATTTAGTAATTTTAACTTGGTATTTAAAAATTTTATAGTTCTGAGAAGACAAGAATCAATATTTATTATACATTTACTCTGTGGCAGGCACCAATAAGATACACACACAAGTGGGTACACACAAATAGTAAATCTCAACCATCACAACAATTTTGGTACAGTCACAATCCTAGTTTATAAATAATAAATTTGAGATTCAGAGAAGTTAGTGAAATTATATGTTAGGATTTTTTTCTTCTACAAATATATAATTAAGAAAACAACTGAATTAGAAGTCCAAACCTCAAGATTCAAGCCCTAGGTCTACTACTTATCATGCGTGTCACTTTAACTGTTTAAAGAGGAGAAGATAGAGGTATATTCCACCCAGCCTACCATGAAACACTTTTTCAGTATCAAATAAGAAATGAAGATGTTTTTTACAATCTATCAGTACTATAAGCATATAATATTTTTAGTACAAGGAACAACTATTTTTCCCTATGATCAATCTGAAGAACTATGAAATATACAAATTAAAAAAACAATCTTAGACAATTCTTTAATGAATTAGCACACATAATTGAAATCTTTTAAAGACTGGCCTGAAATATTATAGCCTATCACCTTGGAGGAGAATCATCCTGCTTTTTAAATCCAGGAGGAAGGGCAGGTCCAAAAAACCCATCATCATCATCATCATCATCATCATCATCATCATCATCATCATCATCATCCTGATTTCTCCTCTGCTTTCTGAAAACAATAATATAAATTTACGCATATACGCCAACACTTTTTCTTTTTTTTTTTTGGTACCGGGGATCGAACTTGGCTCCTTGCGCTTGCGCAGCAGGCAGCGAAACCACTGAGCTAAATCCCCGGCCCAGCCAACACTTTTTCACAAAGAGAAATTTTAAAGGAAGCATTAACTTTAACCACTTGTACAAACACTAAAACAATAAATTAACCTTGCTAAATAAGAAAAAAGTGTATACTACAATAGATCTTAATCTTTATCTGGATTTTATTTTATTTTTCAGTTTTTTGAGACAGGGTCTCGCTATGTAGTTCAAACTGGCCTTGAACTCACTATGTAGTCCAGGATAGTTTCGAACTCATGGCAATCCTCCTGCCACAGCCTCCTAAATGCTGGGATTACAGGCATGTGCCACCACACCTGGTTGGAATTTATTTTTGACCTAAAATAGAAATTGATTACTTTTTCAAAGTAGTAATATACCAGTATTCCATATTTTCTGTAGTAATAAAGATTCCATTAAGTAAATTTTTGAATTGTCTTCTTAGATGTTTCTCAGTGAAAAGTGTATGAGTTAGCTTTTATTCTCATTTAAGGAAGGGTTGTAAATTGCTCTTTCTGTCTCATACTCTTTAAAATGCATAAAATAACATGTTACTCAGTAATATACAAAGAATCAAGTTCTTTTTTTGAGACAGGATCTCACTACATAGTTTAGGCTGGCCTTAAACTCACTGCCATCCTTCTGCCTCAGCTTCCTGAGTGCTGGGGTTACAGGTATATACCACCACGCCCAGCTCAACTTCTTATTTACATTGGTTCATGATGACTAAAGTTAGATTAGAGTGAAATCATTCATTTATTTAAATAAAACATCCACTGCACATACAACTGTAAAAAGAAATTCTATAACTTATTTAGGATATTTACTTCAATAAAACCTTAAGGAAAGGTCCTTATATAAGAGTTTTATTGAAATTCTAGGGACTTCCACAGCTACACATTACTAGAATAATCTTCTTTGTAAAAAGTATAGTTCATAGTGAAAATATTAAATGATTTTTTCCTGTGCTGTATAAATCTAAATATGACATTCCCTTACTAGCCATCTGTTCAGCCAACTCACGCTAGGTTGGAAGCCTGGCTTATTACATAAGTGACTTACCTTGTAGGTGGACCAGTGTCATCTTCTTCAGATTCTTGATTTCCTTCTTCATACAAAGAACTACTGTCTTCATCACTGTCTGATGAATCAGAACTACTGCTTTTATAATTAGGGGGCAGAGCAGGTCCTGCAACTAAAGAAGATTTGTTGTATGTCACAACAAGCCATGAGTATTTCGCTGAGTGCTCCTGGCTTATATTTTTCACTTTTTTTTCTGAAATTCACAGTACTGGCTATCATTTCTTATGGATTTTAATTCTATTCACTACTGTTTTGTACTGTTTTGTGGTTTTGCTTTCCAACTCCAGCAAGCAGAAATCATATTTTACACGGTATCTTTTTAAAAATTCACAAAATCTTAGTAACTAATCTTAGAACAATAACATTATTTCTCTGATGACATGAAATTTTTTTTTTTTTTTTTTTGGTACTGGGGATCGAACTTGGGTCCTTGCGCTTGCGCAGCAGGCAGCGAAACCACTGAGCTAAATCCCCGGCCCAACATGAAATTTTTGTATTGGTTGGTACATCTGCCAAAACAGCATGTTTTATTTTCTTTTTATAGATAGCACATGGTAAACAATATTTATGCCATGGAACTAAACTACAAATTTGCCACTCCATATGATATCAAATCAAAATGATTCACTCTGGTTTCTAAGAACTACAACTCCAAAAAATGTATTTACTAGCATCACTATATTTTGCAGTTTTCATTTCAAGCTGATTTTTCAAGCAGAAACAAAATTAAGAGTCATGCTGAGCTTTACTGCTTGCTCCTGGAGATACACAGAAGAAAATGAGAATACACTGTGATGGGGATGCTGGGAAGGAGGTGGGGGTCTTCTGAACTCTCGAGAACAACCTGCTCTCACTCTGTGTTTCAACAAAATTATAGTTGTGGCCTTTTGAGATCATGTAGTGCCACAACTATCCATGTTAATCCTCAGATGATGCTAAAAATTTACTGTCCCACTTCCAGAAATGCATGTGTATTAGGCTCGGCAAATACTTATATTTTTAAAGACTTCTGGGCTGGGGCTTTAGTTCAGTGGCACTGCGCCTGCCTTGCAAGTGCAAGGTCCTGAGTTCAATCCCCGGTACCAAAAAAAAGGACTGTGTCATTTTCTCAGAGATTGTGACTTAGTTGGGCCTGAAAATATGATTTTCCAAAGAGCACTCCAGATATGCCATCCATTCAATTTTAATATATCAGAAACTTAAAAAATAAAAACTTATTTAATCCAGACAATAACTCTACTAGGGAGTTATTATCATATTTTACTTTAAAGATAAGAAACTGAGGCACAAAAAGGTTAAGCAACTTGCCCACCCTCACTCCTCAACTAAATAGTGGAGCCAAGGTATGAACCCATAAATCTGATTTCAGGGCCTACGAGCATCCAACATCAACATCTATTCATCCATCATCCATCCATCCATCCATCCATCCAATAAATACTTACTGAGTAAATACTTCTGAAGAAACTCATAAAAAGAAAGCAAATCAATTCAGATAGTTAAAGTGCTGTTCCTAAAACAGGAAAAATATGTGGGCAGGTAATTTTAAAGATAACAGTCAGGGAAGGATTCTCTTCTCTGAAAGGAAGTCCTCTGGAAAGAAAACATTGCTTGCAAACCATACAGGAGAGATCAAGAGTAGAGAATATGCATTACAAAGCTGCAAAGAAATGGTTCAATTGTTTGGAACATACTTTGAAAGGGCAAAGAAGATTTGCTATGGTTTAGGAGTGAGAGGTACGGGGAACAAATAAACAAGGAACTGAGGCTGAATCTTAGATTCCTGGCCTGACTGGCTAGCTAGGTAGATGCAATGCTACTCTTTCATTTGGTGGAGTCTCCTAGTCTTCCTGAGCAAGCAGCTTTAGGAGGAAGAGTCAAGTGCTTGTTTTTCACATCTTTAGGACAACCCTTAAAAATTTCAGTGGTGCTATCTGTGGTAGTAGGGTATATTAGTGGGAAGCTCAAGGAAGAAATTAGTGCTAGTTTTGGGACCACTGGCCTATTTCTAAAATTGTTTTTTTTATCTCTCTGGGAATGTTATTATGGAATAAGTGCTTAATATGCAATAAATTTACTTAAAAATGGCCCCAAATTTTATGTCAAAAATTTGATGCAGAGCCGGGGATTTAAGCTCAGTGGTTTCAGCGCAAGGACCCAAATTTGATCCCCAGTACCAAAAAGAAAAAAAAAATTTTTTTTGATGCATTTTTTCAGAATTTTTATATGAATCATCAAAGGAAGGAATTTTAGAAAATAAATGCTAAACTTGTAATATAACATGTTTTATGGGCCGGGGATTTAGCTCAGTGGTTTTGCCGCCTGCTGCGCAAGCGCAAGGACCCAAGTTAGATCCCCGGTACCGTAACAACAACAAAAAAATTACATGCCTTAGAATGGAACAATTAAGTAGTAAAAATAGAAAAACACTAAGAATTGAGAATTGAATTCATATCTCTAACTTTTGTTTAGGACTTACTGAAGAATAATGCTGCAGTATGTAAGTGTTCCCCAACTCTAAATGAAGATGATATCTGACCTCTGACCTCAACGAATAATGTGATTAAGAGGAGACTGGGGGACTGTATCTCACTCTCATAGTGACTGATTTTTTCCAACTTTTTCTGGATTCTAAATATTAAAGATAAAAGATTTTTTTTTGTTTCTTTTTTTATATGGAGTTGCTGTTAATTTAACTTATGAATTGGACACTACTGGCTAATTTTGGATTGGTTTGTATCAAGAAGAAATATTACTACTCTTTTATACAGTTCAAATGATTAAAAGGCCTATATGGTTTAAATATATACTGTTCTAGTTATTGCAAAAGAGAACACGCAGATGAAGATGAACCTCATCCAAGAAGAACATATGGTCTTATTTTTTAAAATGATAATGTGAAAAAGTGGTATTAACATAGAATCATTAACTTCTATTTCAGTTGTGTCAGAAGAAATAACTATTACATAATTTAATGAAAGAATATTCAGAGATGGTAATATAAAAAAGAAAAAGAATATTGGAAGTGTAAATTAGTATAAGCCACACTGCAGACTTCCTAGTAAAATTAAGGATGTGCTTGACTCCTTTTTAAAAATAAATATCTGTCTTCTGAATCATATAAATGGTCTCTAAAACATTTTAAGCACCTGAAGTAAACTATTTCATAATTTTCTTTCTTTCTTTTTTTTTTGGTACCGGGGATCGAACTCGGAACCTTCCACTTGGGAGGCAGGTGCCGGAAACACTGAGCTAAATCCCTGGCCATTTCATAATTTTCTTAACGTAGTGACCCTTATCATTAAGGAAGCTCTCCCTTTGCAATAATAATTTTATAACATTATTGATTCCATGAGAAAAGGGCTTATGCTTTGTATTTCTTATATTTTCCTTGTAACATCTACTACACAGAATTATACACTCAAAAATGGACTCAGTATAGTAAATAAAATAGCATTACAGACCAGCATTAATAGCTGAACACTTACAATTAATTTTTTAAAAATTGATTTTAATGATTGGGGAAACCAACTCTGAATCCTAATTAATGAAATGTTACTCCCCCAAAGCAATTCCATTCTTATTAGATTTGTAATACAAAAAGGCACTCTATTATCTTTTGAATTTCAATTAAAATCTGTAGATATTGGTTTTCTCTTTTATACACATACAGATCTTGCCTCATGACCTACAAAGTCTAAAATATGTAGTTCAGTGCAAAGGCCCAGTGTACAAAGGGAAAAAAAAAAAGACCATGGCTCCATTTAATGTGGCAAAGCACCATCTGGAGTGTGTAGATTGGTCTTTAAAAAATTTTGCACCCTATTGTTTTAACATGGCATGATCTCAGGAGATATTTCCAAGCACTCAATTTCAGAGTGTATATTTGAATGAAGTTTACTTGTTCCATCTGAGACCTATGGGTTTCCCTTCTCCACTGAACTAGTTATTTTTGTCCATGATTTCTTTCTGAGGTAGCCAAGTGTGAGGAACACAGGACAAGATATCAGACTGGGTTTGGGAATCACAACTTGAAGAACATTCTGATATATGCTAGACAGATGAACCCTGAGGCCAGTATGTCCACTGAAATAAAAACAAAAACCACAAATACTACTGTTTGATTCCACTTATATGAGATACTTAAAGTAGTCAAATGTACATGAAAAGAAAGTAGAATGATTCTTGTCAGGTGCTGAGGGGAAGGCAGAATGGGGAGTTTTTGCTTAATGGATACAGGTTTCAGTTTTGCAAGATGAATTTTGGAGAGAGACAGCAGTGATAATTGCACAAAAATGAGAATGTGCCTAATGCCACTGAACTGCATGCTTAAGAACAGTTAATATGATCTGGGAATAGTGGGGCACACCTATAGTCCCAGCACTCTGGGAAGCTGAGGCAGGTGCATCCCCAGCCTAGGCAATTTAGCAAGACCCTGTCTCAAAATAAAAAATAGAATGGTAGGGAATATAGCTCAGTGCAAAGGCCCTGGGTTCAATTCCCAGTACCACACACATGAAAAAAGAGGTCAATATGGTAGATTTTATGTATATTTTATATATGGTTGTACTTATGGTAATAGCCAAAAAATGGAAACTACTCGTACAATAGTAAAATGGATACATTGTTAGAACATTCATCCAGGGGAATTCATTCACACTTTTCTTCAATCTTAGTTTGATGGAAACTACTTTGCTAAAATAAAAGTAAGATTTTATAGTGGTTATAACAGAAATGAGAAGTGAAAGGAACCCTCTAGTGAAAACATGGCTTTTGGGTAGTCAAAGAAGGAAAATTTGATTCAGGAATAGTTGGGATATTCTTTCAGTTTGACTTTTTTCCAACTACAGTGTCAGTCCCAGCCTACACATTAGAACAATCAAAGAAGATAAATACGTCTGAAGGACTCTGAGAAGCATTAATTTTGTATATAGGAAGTGCCTATTGTGTGTTAAGGTAGAAGACCACAAAAGTCCATAGTGAAATAATGGAGACTGATATGTCCAGTAATTGTTCAAATACAACATATTAAAAATACAATATAATTTAAATATACAATATAAATATACAATGTAATTTAAAAAGGGGAAACCCCGAGGGTAAAGAGGAGGGCATAAAAAACACTTCAGAGAGTTTAGAGGAGTCACTTAGGCCTTCAAGGATGGACAGGATTTTGTCAGGTACATCTAGCAGTGCAACCAGAGACCAGAAGCCTAGCGCTGAGGAAGTGCGCAGAAACTGGGACCTGTTGAGTAATGAATGGGCTGTGTGTCAGATGCAAGAACAGAATGAGAAGCTAGGAATGCAGGAGGGTGGCTAGTGGAGCTGGGTGTTCTGCAAGGACTTGTAAGTTAGAAAGCAGTAATAGCCAGAGGCTGAGAGAGCAACTTCGTTCTAATTTGGGCCCCACTAATGACTAGCTGGGTCATCTGGACACCTGTCAGAGCCTTGGTGACCCCATAGGTAACACTGGAATAGTAATCTTTTCCTTGTACAGACGCTGGGAGAATTAAACGTCTGAATGTGTGTTGACCAATTGGCACCGAGTCCGGCTCACATTAAGCACCAAATGGGAGTCTATCGTGGTTATACAGATTATCGGGCCAAGACTCGGTTTCTGAGGCGCCTCCTCCCTACTGCCAAGACTTAGGAGGTTGAGTTAGCTCGAGTTTGGCCGCACCCACTCTCCTCTCTTCCTTCCTCCTAGTTTTCAGACCTTTCCCTCTTAGAGAAGGGCGGGCCAGAGGAGGACGGGTGGGCCTGGTGGACAGGGACACGCCTTCGCTTACCGGGGCTCGGCTCCCGCTCCTCCTCCTCTGCTGTCTCGCGGTTCTTGAAGCCAGGCGGCAGCGCCGGCCCTATCATGTCTCTCGCCATCCGCGGCCGCAGACAATGGTCACGAATACAAGTCTATCAACGCACGTCAGATCTGCCAAAAATCTGACCGCGAGGCGACGCAAATGCCGGAAGTTTTTTCCGGCGCTTGCCAATGACGTATCCGCCTGTGGTTGGCCAAGCCGTGTGACTCCCAGCAACGGAAGTGACGCTTAAAGTCCGTTCCACAGTCGCACGTTGAGCTCCCTACCTGGAGAGCGGCATGGCAGAGCCGGCGGGTGATTTCGGGACTCCTGCTGGTTGGCTTCCAGCCCCTGACCTAGGGTCCCTAAGGGACACCACCCCGCGTCGGGACAACCAGGCATTCTGGGCGATGCTACCACCCCCGCCTCCTCCTTCATCCTCTCCTCTCGCGTCCGGGTCAGAGCCTTTCACCAGGGTGCAGCCTCCTATGGAGGTACAGTCTCTCTCCGGGGCGCCACCTCCCTTCGACGCCCAGATTCTTCCTGGGGCGCAGCCCCCCTTCGACGCCCAGTCCCTCCTTGATTCTCAGCCTCAACTCAGCGGCCGGCCTTATAATTTCCAGGGTTCGACATCATGGTACTGGGGACAGCCTGTTGATAGTTTCCCTCGACATCACAAACCCCACAACCGTCCAGGTAGGCGATTGTTCTTGTGGTACCACCTCTGTACCTTCTGGGTCATCCTCTCTTCCCCATTACTCCCTTTCTTCTCTCCACTATTCCCTAAACTCTTGAAGTCTGGTAATGTCTCAAGATATGTCCTACTGGAATGTTTCCTCTGCTTACTGACTAAATATAGTTGTTATTTATTGGATCCCAGCTGTGTGCCAGGAGCTGGGAATATAACAGTGAGTAACAAAAATCCTTATTTTTATGTAGCTTAACATCCTCCTAGTGTAGGAAGACAGACAACAAGCAGAGTTGTTTATTAGAAGTTAATCAGTGCTGTGGAGAGGGTAATGAATAACTGCAGTTTTAAATATCATTGTCTCATAAGGAAAGAGACATTTGAGTAAAGCTTTCAGAGTGGAAGCTCAGAGCTATGTACTTATATCTGGGTGAGTAGTGATTAGGACTGAAGGAAGGGCAAGTACAAAGGCTTTGAGGAAGGAGCTACGGTATACATCAGAAGTGGTCAGAAAAGATGGAGCCTGGGTCACAGTTGTAGATGACTGGGGAACAGAGCAGAATTTCTAGTCCTTTTAGATCTTGGGATTTTGACTTTTGTTCGTGTGAGGTGGATAGTTTAGGAGAGTGGCATTATCTAATTTATGTTTTGGTGGGTTAAGGTCAGCGCTGATGGAACTGACTGAAAGTGAGGCCTATTAGGAAGCTATTACAGTTCTAGTGGGGACTTGGACAAGGGTGGAGATGCGAGGGTGATGAGAAATAGTCAGATTCTAGATGTAATTTAAAGGTAGGGTCAAAATGATTTGCTGAAAGAATGTGAGGTATGAGATTAAAGAGGAAAACAGAATAACTTTAAGTTTTTGCCAAACAACTTGAATGATGGAATTGCAATTAACAGATATGGGAAAGAGATAAGATGGAGCAGATTGAGATTAAGAGTTGTGTTTGGAATATATTCACATCAAGTAGAAATAGTGAAAAGACTTTTTTATGAGTCAGTACTTTCACATTTTCAGGGGGAAATTTTAAATTTGGATGTTATCAAGCATATAGACCATATTTAAAGTCACACAATTGTCCATGTAAAACCATTATCCAACTCTGTTTAAGATGCAGTTCATTTGGAGTGGGGATTGAGACAGGGTCTCACTGTGTAGTTCAGGCTGGCCTTGAACTTACTATGTAGCTCAGGCTGGCCTCAAACTCAAAAGCGATCCTCCTGACTCAGCCTCCTGAGTGCTGGGATTACAGGCGTGTGCCACCGTGCCTGGCTAAGATCTAGTTCATATTAAATCGAATTCAGGCAGTGTTTACTGTGTGCAAGATGTCAGGAATGTGAGTTTGATGGACTCAAATGAGATAGGTTCATAAGAATAAATCATGGTACAGTGTTGTAAGTGATAGAAACATGTAAAAGGTAATTATATTATGTAAAGAAAGTTGGGAAAAATTTTTGGAAGAAGTGTCTTGGGAGATATGTAGGATTTTGGGAGGGATACTGTTTAGGCACAGGCAAAGAAATGTCAGTATGGAGTTTTGTAGATTGCAGTGTTCTGGTGTGTCTGAAGCAGAGTTATGGAAGGTATGGGAGAAAGGTAGGATGAGAAAATAAACTGGAATATCATTAGAAGACTCTAGGAAGCCATTTGCAGTTTTTGAGCCAAGTTGTGACGTGATTGGAAAATTATTTTTGTAGTACAGGTATGCAAGGTCTGTTAGGATTTAGGAGCTGGAAGACAATCTGGGAGGATGGCACAGCTATCTATGAAAGATTAGGGTTTCTGAACTGGGTCGTGGGAATAAGAATGGAAAGGTGAAGCAGGATTGAAGAGATATATTTCACAAGGTTCTATTTTCCTGGTATGAAATTAATGCTGAAAGATCAGGGCTAGAGATTTTACTGGTTAGGTTTATAATATTTGAAATAGCTAAAGGAATTTTATCTGGTTAGATTGTCCATTTATTTATTATTTATTTATTTAGAGACAGGGTCTTGCTATGTAGTTCAGGCAGGCCTTCAACTCACTGTGTAGCCCAGGCTGGCCTAGAACTCCAGATGATCCTCCTGCATCATTCTGAGTGCTAGGATTATAGGTGTGTGCATTGTATTTAGATAAAAGCATTTGTGGATATGTGATCTCACTGGTGTTTCATTTGAAAAATACTTAAAACTAGTAATAACCTTTGCTAATTGTTTTTAACTTTTCTTCCCAGAAGAGGTAGTTTGCTAGTATTTTTATGCAAATATCTTTGATATGCCATGTTAAATTTTTAATTATATATTTGTAAAAATTAATGGCCTTTTTGTTTTTTAGGTAACTATTCTTATTTTCCACAAAAATATGATCCAAAGTTCACTGACTTCAACTTCCCTCCCAGCAAAAAACAGAAAAAAAAGGTATTTCTAGGTTGTTTTTGAATGTGACACTTTAGTCCCTATGTTATTGTATCATGGCTTTTATTCCTGTTATAACTGTCATGGTGTTTTATATCTGTTGCTGACACAGTGGAGCTTGGCTTTAATAGGCTTTTTAAGGATATTATCTATAAATAAAAATTGTAAGCAAAATCATTTTGAGAAAAACTGAGAAATTGTAGAAAAAGAAAATATTTTCATACAGTATCAGGAGTGAAAAATAATTGTACAATGTGATTACAAATAATGTAAATGTTATTAAACTTAGATAAAATAAAATCATTAGCAGATTGGGAGGTGAGTGATAGAAGTTTGGGAGAAGAATAGAGGACCACCTTTTTCTAAGTTGAAAGCATGAAATTAAGAATAAACTGGAACATTGGGGCTGGGGATTTAGCTCAGTGGTTCCATTGCCTGCCTCACAAGCGCAAGGTCCCAAGTTCGATCCCCAGTACCAAAAAAAGAAAAAGAAAATAAACTGGAACAAAAGGGCTTTTTTCATAATCTTTGCTTTTTAACATAGGAGGATCTTT